CTTTATGCAGGAAATTGCAACAGGAAAACCCTGTTCTCACTGTGTCGCCGAGCGACAAAGGTAGTGTCACCGGGCGAAGAATCGTCGTCACGCGAAAGTGAAGGCGAAGGGAGGCATATTGGAGCTAGTTTCTGGAGTGCGTCACCCTTAGTGTCTTCGGGAGAAGTTTGAAGCGAATGTAGCATCTCCAGACGACAGAAGTGTGTCTCTAGGCGACAAAAGGCAGAATTGGTTATCCAAGTTAGAAATCTTAAAATGATCATAACTTTAGTTCTAGAGCTCGGATTGAGGTTCCGTTCGAAGCGTTGGATATCTAACACAATGAAATTTAATTATATGGAGAAAAAATGAGACTTAAGGAGTATATATCTTAGTTATAATGTAGAATAGAATTAGGTTCCCCGCGTTGAATCGCAATGAATGCTTTGTTTATGATGATGGCCTATGATGATGCTATGATGTTGTTTTGATTACTATGATGATACTATGATGTTCTGTTGATTATTATGATGATTCTATGATGTTGTGTTGATTACTATGATGATGTTATGATATTGTGTTGATTACTATGATGATATGATGATGTTTGTGATGAATCATGAATGGTGATGTGTGTTGACTAGCTGTGATCGTATTAAATTTGTTATTACGCGTCATTGCATTCGTGGCATATTCTAGGACTTCGGTCTAGTGAAGTTAAGACTTTAGTCCAGTGAAGATGATAGGACGATTGTCCAGTGAAGGCAACAATCCCATAGTGTGGATTGGGTGTAACAGTGAAGTACTCTGGTTCTAAGCGGGAATCAATCATATGGTGGAGATCTTTGGAGTTAACGATGACTGAGTCATCAGTGAAGTTTCAGTACCACATGCATGAGTCTATGAAATTGTATTACATTCTATGTGACATTGCATAATGATTTATTTGTGATGCTTGACGATACATTATGTAAGCAGATTGTAGGGTGAGAGTGTAGAAAAAATATACAGGCCCAAGGGGGGAAGGCCCAGGCGCTGTAAACAACAAAAATATGACAAAATAACATGGAAAAATTCAAAAGGGTACCGCTGGGACTCGAACCCAGGTCCCTATAGTTCAATGCCTTATACGTGCATGCATTGCCACTAGGGTGGCTTGTACATCCGGTTATGCAAAATGTTGCAATAAATTTAAAATAAACCAAATCGTGACTGTACTTCATCTTCTTCCTCGCGCCACATTTTTGAACTTCTGAACTTACTCATTTCTCAACCATTCCAGAAATGGTAAACATCAAACTTGTTAGAAATTTCATCACGATTTCAAATATGTAAATAACATAAAATGCTAAAAAAGTCAGTTCTCCCACTGTATTACACCTGTGATTAGATGGTGTTTTAGGAACTTTATCATGATAAAATCGCAAGAGAATTGGACTACTTTATGCAGGAAATTACAACAGGAAAACCCTGTTCGCACTCTGTTGTCGAGTGACGAAGGTAGTGTCACCGGGCGAAGAATCATCGTCGGGCGAAAGTGAAGGCGAAGGGAGGCATATTGGAGCTAGTTTTTGGGGTGCATCACCCCTAGTGTCGTCGGGTGAAGTTTGAAGCGAATGTAGCATCGCCGGGCGATGGAAGTGTGTCTCCAGGCGACAAAAGGCAGAATTGGTTGTCCAAGTTGGAAATCTTAAAATGATCATAACTGTAGTTCTAGAGCTTGGATTGAGGTTCCATTTGAAGTGTTGGATATCTAACACAATGAAGTTTAATTATATGGAGAAAAAAATGAGACTTAAGGAGTATATATCTTAGTTCTAATGTAGAATAGAATTAGGTTCCCCGCGTTGAATCACAATGAATGCTTTGTTTCAGATGATGCTTTGCCTATGATGTTGCTTTGATTACTATGATGATGCTATGATGTTCTGTTGATTACTATGATGATTCTATGATGTTGTGTTGATTACTATGATGATGTTATGATGTTGTGTTGATTACTATGATGATATGATGATGTTTGTGATAAATCATGAATGGTGATGTGTGTTGACTAGCTGTGATCGTATTAAATTTGTTATTACACGTCATTGCATTCGTGGCATATTTTAGGACTTCGGTCCAGTGAAGTTAGAACTTCAGTCCAGTGAATATGATAGGACGATTGTCTAGTGAAGGCAACAATCCCATAGTGTGGATTGGGTGTAACAGTGAAGTACTCTGGTTCTAAGTGGGAATCAATCATATGGTGGAGATATTTGGAGTTAACGATGACTGAGTCATCAGTGAAGTTTCGGTACCACATGCATGAGTCTATGGCATTGTATTACATTCTACTTGACATTGCATAATGATTTATTTGTGATGCTTGACGATACATTATGTATGATGATATGTGTTCGTGTATTGATGAAGTGGTGAAGGTGTGAGTATAATATGACGATAAGATGATGTGTGAGGCATTGCTTATGTTCATATTTACTATGTATATTCCTTATGTATTATATAATGATTATGATTTGCTCACTCTTTCTATTTGAATGTTGCAACCACGTGGGTAACACGCAGGTGATCGAGAATAGTCCGTAGAAGCATTAGAGGATAGCTTTAGAGTGTGTTTATTTACTTTTGTTGAATAAAAGGAAGTCTTGCTCTGATATGTAACATATGGGTTTTGATCGAATGGTTAGAACTTATGTTATTTGTTTTGTTTTAAGATGTTGAGTCATCCTACGTGGTACTCGAGATGTTTTGATTTATAAGTATGAGTTATGAAGTATGACTAATTTTTATGAAGTACTATAATAAAGTGTTTTAAACTATGATTTATGCTCCCATGATTCAAAGAATTAAATGTTAATTCTATCTTGTTAAAGATTTTGAAAACCCGTGTTATGAAGCAGGAAGTGTCGTTATAATGTTTTATATGAAGATGTAACATCCTTGTTGGTGATATACTCTGATTGATTTATTAAGAATAATTGTGAATATTCTTTGGGGTTTAGAAGGGTGTTACATTGCTCATCTTGAGCCACTATAGTTGCATCTGGATCCATATAAGACAAGATGGAGAAGGCAAGATGGGTAACCACCTCTCCAACATCGAGATTGTTGTAGTTTCAAACTCTAACTTCTTCAGAAGTACCAAGGGAATTGTCACCATTCTCTATAGAATCCCTTCCAAAATCAAAGGTATCACTAAGCACAATATATTTAGGATTCTGTCCATTAACTTCTAGAGATCAACATCTTGGGACATCATTAATCTCATATATCGCTGGTAGTAGAGAATCACCCCCATCAAACCCATTTATTATACTCTCAAGAATATTTTCTTAGTTGGCCATAATGAATGCTAATAAGTTAAACAACAAAAGTAAGGAGAATAGACTAGATATGGTACTTGAGTAAGAAGAAAAGCGAGGGAACAACTAAGAACGAGATGAACATTATAATTAGGAAGAACCGAGAACAAGGGACCCAAACAAGAGAGAAATATGGAAAAATTAGAAATCACCAAAGCTTAGGAAAAGGAGAAAAAGTGTTCGCAAAGGAATGTAAGATTCAATTATGAGAGGGAACAAAAGGGCAAGACAACATTTATATAATGAAGCCAGATGAAGCGAATCAACATTAATGGAAGATGAAAAATCAACGATCAAGATTACAAATAAAATTGTAACGACACTTGAGTGTACTCAAGCATCCTAGAGAGAAGTGTCACACCCTAATCTATAAACTTAGGGTCACGTGTGAGAAAAACCTGTGAAACACCTCAATGATACGACTAATATTTAATGCAATTGTCTCCAAATCTCTTTCACATCTCAACGCATGATCTCGACTAAAAGTAGCCGACTCAATTCCTTAAAAGACTTCTCACACATCACATCACAACAAACCTTGATGTCAATTGTTTGGGACAAACTAGATGCCCAATACATTATATGTCCAATTATCACCCAATATATATATACCACAATGTGAACAACCCAAAGGAGGTACACATCAAGAATCAAGAATTTGCATCAATAATGTTGCCTCATGAACTGAACAATACCTAAAAAATAGACATCTCAAGTTTTTAAATGATTCCACGCGGACTGATGCCAAAGATTTGTAATGTATTCCATCTCATACTAATTTATTTAAAATTCATTCTCATTTTAGGGTGGGATTAAGACTCCAATTCAACCACCTAATTTTGTAATGTGCAACATAAACTACCGTTTGTTACATTTTGTCATTTTAAATGATGCACAAGCTGGCTCATGTTTATAAAATATTATGCAAGCTGCAGTTTCTAGTGCTGGCTGAGGACGTGAAATGTTTTATTAGTTGTTTGATTAGAATTAGTAAGATTTGAATATTAAAATAATAATAGTAAGATTTTTTCGGATGGTGAACAAACATTTGTTTTATTAGAGAATTCAAATAAAAAATTAATGTTGTTTTTAGTAACACAACAAATTTAAGCTTTAATTAAATAAGCAACACAAATAAATTTATGCAAAATATTCTTAAACAATTTGTTACACACCTTGTCTTCTTTGATTTTTAATAGTTTTCTAATACAAAAAACAATTGATCTTTTACAGAGAGTTTAAAGACTTATGAATAACAATATTGTATCTCTTAAGTTTGTGATATAATTTTTAAAAAGATTGATTTTACGATTAAAAAATAGTAGATTGTTGTCTGTTTATCTTCTATTTCTATATTGATCTAATTTATTTTAAAAATTTATAAATGGTCATTTTATAAAAATAAAAAATGAAGTTTTATTTTGACAGTCCTTGAAGGCGCTATATACCCTGCCGGCCTAAGTCCTAAGGTTAAGTGCTATGTACCTTAGCTCGAAGGGTCAAGTCCAAAGCAGATTAACACAACAAAGTCCACTTTTTATATATTCACCACTAGTATTAATTGGTACCTTGTTTTCATCAAACAAACAAACGGCACTGTTATTTAGACTTCTGCAGGCTGCAGCTATTCCATTCCAGTTTCAGATCATGGGAAGCATGAAAAGAGAATCACACAAGCAAAGCAAGTTTAAGCATTACATTTCAACTCCTGTAGGAATTCTAAAGAAGGCAAAGGATTTATACGTCAATGGGTTATTGGCTTGTTCCGGAAGAATTGCTGCCTCTGCACCCGCTCATATTTCAGTTTCACACCTCCCTGCAGACACTGCTAAAGAAAATAGTGGTGAAAGACAGTCACTGAGAGAGATTTTCAGAACCGCGCCGATCAATGAAACGAGATTCGTGATAAATGGGGAAAGAGTAGTGCCGATAAGAAATACTATAGGGAGTGAAATGGTCATGCAAAGAAGGCAAAGGCAAGGGATCGCGGGGTATAAGTATAATAGAAATAAAATGAGTTATCAGACTGAGGTGAGAAAAATGGGAAGAATCGATGAAGATAAACCTTGTTGTTTTGAGGAAGATGAAAGTGATCATTCTATTTCCAAGGGAAATTTAGTGTATCTGTATCCAAGAAGTAGAAGGATCAATAGTGTTGTCAAACTGCCACCACTCTAAACTGCAATTTTGTTGATCTATGGTTAAACTTTTTCTCTAGTTTCACCATGTAGTTTTCGGAGTCTTAGTTTTTAGTTTCGATGGCTAATAATTTTGTTGTTTGTTGATTAAGTACAGCAAAAAGATGTTTTTTGTTCTTATGAGTTTTGGTGGTTGGATGAGCTATGTGTGTATAATGGTATCGTTAATCATAATGATCTACTCGATTGAAGTTAAGTTATTATTTGAAATTTATAGAATGTGGTTTCAACTAGTATTGAACTTGGCACAAAAATTAGTCTAGGAGTGATAGAATGTGAAATGACAATCATACTGCAACTTTTTGTCCACACATGCCACATATGGTTAATTGAGTTGAAAAAAATAATTAATTCATTTGAGAGTTAAAATTATGGATTAACTATAATTTTGCTTAATCAATGATTTTGTGAACTGAATTAACCATATTTTTATGCGTTGTACCATGGATGTATGAAAAAGTAGTTTACTTTAAATATTTTTCAAGATAGAATATGTGAATTAATTTATTTAAAAATAAATATTTTTAAATATTTTTAAAAATGATTTTGGTATTTTTTTAAATAGTAAAAAAAGTAATTAAAACATACATAATTTTTCAAAAAGATATATCATAAAAATGATTTTTATGAAAAAATATTCAAAATAATTTAAAATTTAAATGATTTTTTAAAATTTAGATATAAAAAAAATTATAATATGTACTTGCTAAAAAGTACAGATGTGTGGCACCTGTATGTCAGTAGGGGTGATCAGATGTTTTATAGAATTTTGGTGGTTTAAGAAAAACTCACGGTGGTGAAAGGCTCTATTTTGAAGTGATTTTGGTAAGATGGGAGTAAGCTCACGCGGAGTGAGAAAATTTGTATTTCGGAGGTATTTTCTGCGTATTCAGAATATCCCTCCTTAATTCTAAGGTTGAAGTATTTATAGAGGTCTAGAGGTCATGTTAGGGCTTCTAGGGAATTGGAATCGCCCACATAGTAATGATATTTGACTGTTGAATTCCTATTTCTTATGAAGTGGGTTATTCTTTTGACTCCTTTTTTCATCATCTCTTACCAAAACGTGTTATTTCCCATGTTTCCTTATACAGGGTGAACGAGAGTGTCGTGGGCGATGTCATACCCCTCACAAGTGATATGATTCCATTTCCATTTGTTAGCGACATGGTCTTCTTGTAACACCCTTCTAAAATCTTACGAATATTGTAAATAATGAATCAAAATATTACACCAAAAGGGTGTCACATCTTCATATAAAACTCTGTACATACATATCTTACTCCATAACACGGGTTTTAAAAACTTAAAACATTTCTCTCTTTGAAAATATAATCATGAAACTTCAACCCATTGCAGCAGAAATATTGTCTCAAAATATCTTTATTAAACACTTCAAATGAAATACCATCACACTTCATAATTAAGAAGTTAAACTTCAAAACATCTTAAAACAAAACAAAGCATCTCAACGCATCATGTCATCGAGAAATATATAGTTCAATTCAAACGATCCCAAAGACCCTGTTGTTACATATCAGAACAAGACCTTATAACATCAACGAAAATAAACAACGCACTCTGAAGCTATCCTCTAAGCTTCGACAAACTATTCCTGATCACCTGCAAGTTGCCCACGTATAGAAGCAAATTTCCAAGCAGAAAGGGTGAGTAATCACAAATTATTATAAAATGTATATGGAATAGATATAGTAGTACAACAATAACTCATCATGGAATCCACATACCATCATATTTCATATTTTGTACTCACACCTTTGCATCAACAATACAAACCAATTATATCATTATATCATCACATTAACAACAATCTTCAAGCATCACAAATCACAACATCATCAATATCACTTAATCAATCATTATACAATATCACATATAATGCAATGCAACATCATTGACTCATGCATGTGGTACCAAAACTTCACCGATGACTCAGTCATCGTTTCTCCAAAGATCCCATCAATATGATCGATTCCCGCTTAGAACCAGAGCACATCATAACATTGTACTCAATTTATACTATGAGATTGAGGCTATCACTGGACTAACGTCCTATCATCATCACTGGACCAATTATCCTAGCAACATCACTGGACCAAAGTCCTAAAATATGCCATAAATGCATGATGCATAATAACACAATAAACACGACCACGACTAGTCAAAACACATCATTCATTCATGTATCCATCTTAATATCATCACGTACTTCATATATATATATATATATATATATATATATATATATATATATATATATATATATATATATATATATATATATATATATATATATATATATATATATATATATATATATATATATATATATATACATGACATCATCACAACATCATCATATAATCATAGCAAAAATATAGTATCATCATAGTATCAACAACTCATCATATACATACATTATAACAAGTCAACCATAAAACTATCATATTCATTAAGAAATAAGTATTGGAAATATACATCTTATTACTCATTTTATTCTAACAAAGCATAGTAAATCATGTTAGCTTCCTAATGCTTCGAACGGGGCGTCAAACAGAGTCCGAAAACTCAAGTTACAACATTTTAAAGTTTCTATCAGACACCCCTCGCCCGAGGCTCTCCCGGAAAGGAAGGGGTGAATCATATTCCCCCATAAAAATTCCAGGAGCATGCATTTTCCTTCTCTCTCCTTCACCCGGTGAAGCTGTTCGTTCGCCCGACGAGTCCCCCTCGTTTCTACTTCGCCCAACGAAGCTGAGGCGAGTCACCCTTCTCCCATAAAAAATCCAGGGGCTCTGTCTCCCCTTCCACCTATTCCTTTCATGTCTCGCTCGCCCGGTGCATCAGAGAGACACCTTCACCCGACAAATCATCTTGATCGCCCGGCGAGGCAACCCAAACAAGAACTCTCTTGTGCGTTTTCTACACTACCCCAGTCCCAAATTCTTGCGATTCTAACATAGTACATGTCTCAATTTATCACAACTACTCATGCTTTCATAATACAATACCAACACATCATATTATATATCTTTTACATCAATTCATGGCAAAACATCATGGTAATTTCATCAATTTCATCAAATATTCATGATACTCATCATGTTATTAATTCATCACAAAAACCCCAAACAACCTACATACATATAAACCCTATATCAATCACAATAACAAGGATAACTCCCTTACCTTAGATTAATAGAAGTAATATATTCCTCTTTGCATTCTACAAAAATCCCTTTGCTTTCTTCCTGCCCTAACTTTGTTGTGTTCTTCCAATTCTTTTCATGATCGCACATAATGACACACATTTCCCTCTATTCCTTGTTTAACCATTTGACCCTTTCTATTGTCTTTCCATCTTACCCTCACTTACTTCATAATATTACTACATTGTCCTTATAGACTTTACCTCTTATTATTTTATTTATTTAATTAATAATAATTCTAAATAAACAAAACTAATTATCTAAAATTATACAAAACACCCAATACTACTTAATTCCTACTATACCACACATAACAACACATCATACATCATATTCATCAAACATCACAAATACATCACAAATACTCATCATATTAATTAAGCAATTAAATAAATAATATAATTAATTTGGAGGGTTACACTCCTCGTCCCTTATGGGTCCTTCGCTAATATATCACTACACGGTCCCTTAATTACAAAGGCTTTGATAAAGCGTGAAAGGCTTAGTTGATTTATGCATCAGGGTGGCCTATTTTATGAGACTCTAAACTAAGTCCATCGGGCCGGGCTTTAGACCGAGTCTCTTGAGTCATACTTCCATCGAGTCCCTTAGGAGATACTTTAGGCTAAGTCTCTCGGGCCATACTTCCATCGGGTTCTTCAAGCGAGACTTTAGGCTAAGCCTATCTAATGAGAATTTAAGTCCCTCATGTGACACATTTGAGGAGTCTGTGTCATAATACTCTAAGTCTCTCAGGCGAGGCGTGTCAAGGAGCATGTTAGATGGAACTTTAAGCCCCGTAGGCTACGCATTTAGAGGATAGTCTCTCGTATAAGAGTTTGGTTGAATCCCTCAAGTGAGGCTTAAGGCTGAGTTCCTTGGGACAGACTTCCATCTAGTCCCACATGAGAGACTTTAAGTTGGGCTTGTCTGATGAGACCTTACGTCCATTAGGTGAGTCGTTCCGTGGATCCTGTCTGATGAGACTCTAATTCACTCAGGCAAGGTGTGTAGATGATCATGTTTGATGAGGCTCTAAGTCCTTTAGGCAGGGAGTTTAGAGGAGAGTCTCCAAGGCAAGCCTTTGGTTAAATTCTTCAAGCAAGACTTTAGGGTGAATCTCTCAGGCCAAACTTCCATCGAGTCCTTAAAGCAAGACTTTAGGCTAAATCCATCTGATGGGACCCTAAGTCCCTCAGGCGAGGCATTTCGATGAGCCTATCTAATAAGACTCTAAGTCCCACAGACAAGGAGTGTAGAGGAGCATGTTTGACGAGACTCTTGGTACCTCAGGTGATGCGTTTAGAGGCGAGTCTCTCAGTAAAGACTTTTGTCAAAACCCTCAGGCGAGACTTTATGTTGAGGATGTCTGATGAGACCCAAAGTCTCTCAAGAGAGACATTTCGAGGAGCCTATCTAATGTGACTCTAAGTCCCTTAGGCGAGGCGTGTAGTTGAGTTCGTCTTATGAGACTATAAGTTACTCAAGCGAGGCATTTAGAGGTGAGTTTCTTGAGCAAGACTTCGGTCAAATCCCTCAGAAGAAACTATAGTTTGGGTCTCACGGGTTATACTTCCATCAAGTCCCTCAGGCGAGATTTTAGAATGAGCCTGTTTGATCAGACCTTAAGTTCATCGGGCAAGAAGGTTTGAGGAACCTATCTAATAAGACTATAAGTCCCCTACGCGAGGTGTTTAGAAGCAAGTCTCTCAGAAAAGACTTTTGTAGGTGTTTAGGTATTGGCTTGCAT